ATTTTTAACGTGCAATTTAACGCATTGCGTTCTGGGCTCGTCTGCTTGCCTGTACTGGAGTTGATCCTTTTAAAATCACTTAATGCATTTCATAATGCACGTTCATATTTGCTGTTCTGTATATACTTTGAGTCAACAACAAGGCATATAGGCTACTGTATTGTCTTTATCATCCGTTATTATGCCACATTAAGCGTTTTGCTGTATGGGAGGACAAGTGAAAGTTTGCGCATTGTGTTCATGGCCATCTGCTTGCCTTGTAGTACATTAAATAATAACTATATATCGAATTTGATCTTTTAATTGCACTTAATGTATCTTAATACATTAAGCCATATTAAGTGTTTATGTTTTTCTACAGGAGGAAAATGCTTAACGAGAGACTTTGTGCATTGCGTTCATATTCTGCTGTTCTGTGGCCACGGATTTGCGGGTCTTGTCTTTTTCTTGCAGGACCCTTTATGTTATAGTATAAAATTAGTTTTAATTGTTTAATCACCACCACAGCGTCTTGTCTCCATTGGCAACACGCACGTAAGTGGCGATTGCAAGTGACGTCGCAGGTATCCGAGGGTGCAAGTGGCGATTGCAAGTGACATTGTAATTTAGTTTCTTTTTTCTTGTCTTCACCACCTGGCTACTGTTGTAAAATGTTGAGAGATTCAAACAAAAAGTAATTAATAAATAGAACAAAATAAAAAAGACTGCAAGTGATGTCAATTGCGGAAGCGCAAGTGTCTGAGCCAGACCCTTCTCGTGCAGCTTGACAAACATTTATGAGAACAATGATATCTGTATATGTTATATATGAAGTTTTATGATATGCTTTATCTTTTCTAGGTCTGTGAAGTTACAAGTGGGATATATAAGGTGAGTAGTTATGATTTGTCATTTACATTTAGTATCTTAGCTGACGCTTTTATCCAAAGCGAAATGAAGACAATAGAAGCAATCAAACCAACAAAAGAGCAATATTATGTAAGTGCTGTGGCAAGTCCCGGTTGTATAATGCAGTACACATAGCAAGTTTTTTTTTAAAATAATAAATGAAAAGAAAATGGGTAGATATAATAGAAAAAGAATAGAGAGTTCTAGTGTTAGAGAGTCAATTATTTGAGGAGAGGAGAGTATTATTATGATGATAACCACAGGTGACTTCACATCACGTTCGCTGTCTGTCTTTGTGCAAAGAAAGTAGGAAAAATCTCATCCAAATTCAGTCCAAACTGCAAGTACATTATTGTCATGTGTTTTGATCAAGGGCTCAGTAGGGATGGACTGGGATGTGAACAGGTTCATAAGCACTAAATATAGCACTAAATTATTATTATTATTTTGTTTTTCTATTTTGGTGCATTTTGGAGAGAAAAAGTATTCTTAAATTCCAGCTCCATTCTGCAAGAGAAAAAATAGTATGTTTTTGTTTTTCACTTTAATCAGAATATTATTGCATAACAAACTTTGTTTATTATCTTTCTTTGTGCTCAGTTGAAATGTGACTTTTTTTTTTCTTCAAATTTCAGAGTTTCTTAACATTTCAAAGGATGAAAAATACATAAAATGTGTAACATGAAATGTAGTTCTCTATTCTCTGGCAGACTGACACGGTCAATTATGAAATGGTGTATAATAGCTTAAAGTATATATGCTTCTGTTCTGAACAAACTGATTACTGTACAACTGAATTCATTAAGCTGCTTTTTCCAAGCAAATGATGAAGAATTTCACGCTCAATCATTTCTGGTCACTGAGCTATATTCACAGTTGTTGTAGTCTTGTGTTGTTTTCTTAAAGGTGAAGTGTGTAATTTCTGCAGCACTGAAAAAATAATAACTTTCAAAAGTTATTTTATATCTGAAGCTATTTTTATTTTATTTTATCATTGCTACCCGAGTAATATGTACATGTAGCATTTTAATTATATTCTGCTGAAATAAACAAAACGACTTTGGGGGGAAAAAAATTCATTTTGATGAAAGAGATTCAAAGATCCGAGTCAGTAAAATGATCCGAACTTCCCATCACCAGTGGCGGCACTAGAGTGGGGCTTGCTGGGGCCCATATAAGGTATTAATCTACCTTATTTTTCCCGTAAAAGTGGGCGGAGTTGCCAATTTAGCAATTTTGTTGCTACATTTGGCAAATTTTCAGACTACCATAGCAACATATATTTTTATATATATTTTATTATTTTATGAAGTATACAACATTCCACGCTTAGTTTTTCAGTTATTTAAGTGCATCATCTGGGTATTTAACCCTCCATGTGACTAAGAGTGATTTCACAGCTTAAAAAAAAAAGACTTTGTATTTTACATATATTTAGGAGTAATCATTAAATCAGTAAATCATTTTCCAAAATTTGATTTCTACATCTGATCTTTGACCTCTTTTTTAGGGTAAATTATTTTTGGCAAATTGTTTGAAACTTCACACACAATCAAATGCTTTTTCGCTATCTCAAAAGAAGTGAAAAAGTCTTACTGTTTCAAAAACATTAAAAATCTTTATGCACATTCAATTTCTTCTTGTGCTGCTATATTTGATTTGGAAGTCACGCCGTGAAAATGTCTGAAACCTGACACAAATTCGAATGCAATTTCACTGCCTAAAAACCATGTCTTAGTGTTTAAAAAGCATTACAACCACTTTAATATTGTGTTTCATCTTGGAATTTCAAATCAATTATCAAGTCAACAAGATTTTCAGTGTACCCCACACATCCCACACATAAGTAGATGTTGACTTGTGAGCATCATTGGAGCATCGCTGCATGTCAAAATAGTAAAGTCACCATTATTTATATAGTGCTTTTTACAATGCAGATTGTGTCAAAGCAGCTTTACAGTATTAAACAGGGAAATGACTTGTGAGCATCATTGGAGCATCGCTGCATGTCAAAATAGTAAAGTCACCATTATTTATATAGTGCTTTTTACAATGCAGATTGTGTCAAAGCAGCTTTACAGTATTAAACAGGGAAATAGTGTGCCGTTCTCCTCTGGCTAGACAAAACCAGCAGTTAAATTCTAGGTTGCAGCAGAGTCAGATTGTGCAGAGGACTCATCTGGTTCCCGTGGTCTTGTCCCGATGGCCGTCTATATCCGTCTCTGGGGCTCATCTAGTTGACATGGTCAACAGAATAGTAATTCCAGTAGACATTGGCATCTTTTCTGAAATCTAGTTGTTGTATGGATCACATCTTTCAAACTGGCAATGCACCCAAATGCCTGAATTTCACAACAACCTAATTTTCTTCACTGCCCTCATCCTCATTGCTTCTGTCCTCTTTGGTCCTCAAAAACTTTTTATTACTACAACCTGATTTTCTGATGTATTCCTGTCACTATCATTAATAGCTTTTGAAATAAGTTCAGATTTGTCTCTCCATCTTCCAAATATTTTACAAAAATAAACCTAAAACACATGCAAAAGGCTATGTCAATAGTGCTAGCTACACAAAATATGCATCCCATAATAGGACTTTGTCAGTTATGCATGATGCTTAGATTTTTGGACCTCTGAGTTATTGTTTTTATAAACGTGCATTAAAAATGACAAAAAACATTAGAAAATTTCGATCTAAAATTATATTTTTTATAACTTGAATTTATATGCATTTTCTAGTCTAAAATGAGCTCACTATAGAGCCTTGAGAGCATATAGGTGTGCTAAAGTCTCATTGGCAAATACATTTGAATTTTACTGGTTGAAGGGGATGTCATATGACATCACTAAAATTTAATTTTGTTGGTTGACTATTAACTCTAAAAATGCTGTGAACAGAGCTGTTTTGGACAAGGTAAAAAGGGTTTTGTTTTACAGCATTTTAATTTAAATGTATTCAACCATTCTCTCTAATCCCTTTTCAGCAAAATAGCCCTAATTCTCGTGCTGGTGTTTCGCCGAAATCTGAGCCGGTGAAGGGCTGCTGTTCGCGGGGGAACTGCGAACCTCAGACCACCGCCTCGCGTTTCACTCGTAGCTGAAAGATGCCATGACTGACTCCATAACCTGCCCAGAAACATACAGTACTGAGAGTAGAGAACATATTTTAACATTAAATTAATTATATTCAGCTTTATATAGAATAAAATCAGTTATTAGTTAGTTATGCAAGGCAAAATGCGTTTCCATTATGCGAAACAACCGACTGCTAATGATGCATTAAGCTGATTGACATCTCGTCCTTGTATGTTGCGTTGCATAAAATAATGTAATATACAGCACAATAAAGACTTTATTAATTAAATCAAATGTATACAAACCTTTTTTTCGCTGAAGAACCGCTCTCTCCTAACTACCCAGCAGGCTCAACCCAGCGGTTGGGTAGAAAAAAATAACCCAGCAGCTTAGTTACAGAAAAACAACCCAGCACCTGGGTAATTTATTTATTTTTTTTAAATAACCCAGTAAAATGACCCAACAAGATATGGAGGACCACGAGTGTCACGGAAATAGTAATAAAGAATTTC